AATGTTGTTTTATATTAAATATGTTATCAATACTCATTTTAGCCTATTTACGTCACAAAAATTCAAAAAACTTTAAAAACTACGATTATGACAATTGTCACTTATCTATGGTACATCTTCACTAAATTTTATTTAAACATGTTATCAATACTTATTTTAACATATTTTCGTCAAAAAATTTAAAAAAACTATAAAAATAACGATTATGACAATTGTCACTTTCCTACGGTACATCTTCACTAAATTTAATTTAAACATGTTATCAATACTTATTTAAACATATTTTCGTCAAAAAAATTTAAAAATAACGATACAATTGTCACTTTTCTATGGTACATCTTCACTTAAACATGTTATCAATACTTATTTTAATCTATTTTCGTCAAAAAAATTCAAAAATCTTTAAAAATAATGATTATGACAATTGTCACTTTTCTATGGTACATCTTAACTAAATTTTATTTAAACATGTTATCAATACTTATTTTAACAAATTTACGTCAAAAAAATTCAAAAAACTTATAACCATTATAACAATTGTCACTTTTCTATGGTACATCTTCACTAAATTTTTATTTAAACATCATATCAATACTTATTTTAAGGTACATCTTCACTAAATTTTATTTAAATATGTTTCAATACTTATTTTAATCTATTTTCGTCAAAAAAAATCAAAAAACTTTAAAAATAACGATTGACAATTGTCACTTTTCTACGGTACATCTCCACTAAATTTTATTTAAACATGTTATCAATACTTATTTTAGCCTATTTACGTCACAAAAATTCAAAAAACTTTAAAAACTACGATTATGACAATTGTCACTTATCTATGGTACATCTTCACTAAATTTTATTTAAATAAGTTATCAAAACTTATTTTAACATATTTTCGTCTAAAAAATTAAAAAAACTATAAAAATAACGATTATGACAATTGTCACTTTTCTACGGTACATCTTCACTAAATTTAATTTAAACATTTTATCAATACTTATTTAAACATATTTTCGTCAAAAAAATTTAAAAAACTTTAAAAATAACGATTATGACAATTGTCACTTTTCTATGGTACATCTTCACTTAAACATGTTATCAATACTTATTTTAATCTATTTTCGTCAAAAAAATTCAAAAATCTTTAAAAATAACGATTATGACAATTGTCACTTTTCTATGGTACATCTTAACTAAATTTTATTTAAACATATCAATACTTATTTTAACAAATTTACGTCAAAAAAATTCAAAAAACTTATAACCATTATAACAATTGTCACTTTTCTATGGTACATCTTCACTAAATTTTTATTTAAACATCATATCAATACTTATTTTAAGGTACATCTTCACTAAATTTTATTTAAATATGTTTTAATACTTATTTTAATCTATTTTCGTCAAAAAAAATCAAAAAACTTTAAAAATAACGATTATGACAATTGTCACATTAAAATATTATCCTTAAAAAGATCATATAAAATAACATCAAGAAAGTTTAATATAAATATTTTTAAAAAATTATTTAAAAAAACACCTCATTAATAAAAAAATAGATAATTTTATAAAATTGATAAAAAAAATTATAAAAGATTTCACCTAAAAGATTGTTTTTTTATCTAATAAAATTTACAATATGATTCCTCAATAAAAGATGTATTTACAAAGAAGATTGAGAAAATCACTAATAAATTATATTAAAAAGAATATTACATTTTTACAATAGCAGCATATTATTTTTTTTATTAAAAAAACATCAAATAAATAAATTTATTTTCATTTCAAAATAAAACAATATAAATAAAAAATATTAAATGGTATCATGTTTATTTGTTGATAATAATAAAATATTTACATTAAATATAAATAAAATAAATTATTTTACTAAAATAAATAAATAATAATTAATGCTAGGCATCGATGCAGAATTTTTGATTAATTTATTTTAGCCAATTTTTGGGCTTAGCCAATTTTTAGGCTTAGCCTAATTACTTAACTGATTTATTCACCTAAAATCTAGGCTAAGCCGTTTTATAGTCGGCTAAAATTAGCCGATAACACAACACTAGTGGAGAGTAAGGCAGCGAATGGCAGGTTTTAGCCAGTTCACTCAAGCCTGCCCATAAAAATATTTTTAAAATATAAATTGTAAAATATTTTTTAAGGCAATTTTTTTATTTCATAATATTGCATATTTTATAAGTTTAAATAAAAATATATCAAAATATAAGGGCCCATCAACCAATTAAATAATTTTTAAGCACTAAGCTGGTTGAGCAAAATTTTTAAATAAATGGGTGGGAGGGTAATTTATTTTTTTTAAACCAGAGGAAGATGAGTTAAAAAATTAAACAAAAGCAAATTAAAAACCCTGTAAATCTCAAATTGACACCTCAAAGTGAAAAAAAATAAAGAAAATATTCTTTTACTTAACAAATATAATTGTCAATTTGTCCAAAAGGACAAAGGTGTGAGAGGTAAATGAAGCAGGAAATGTTGGAAATATGGCCAACTAGCATAGCAAGATCAGGTAACCTGCTTCAACCATGTATGGTTTTTTAAAATATGATTAGATACCTGTAGTGTTTTGTTTGGAATAAGAAATAACTGTCTGCATCTTTCAAATTAAAGCTGTGTCACATATCTATGTATATTATTATGGACTGATGAAATTAATCATACAATTTGTTCCTTGTGTTGTGACACTTAATTTAATTCCTACATGTCTAAATTATTTTTTACAAAATTATCACAGATCTCTAACAATAACATCTGCAAAAAATGGGGAGGGGGGGGGGGTATTATTATTTTGTACAAATTTTTGATGCAGTTGTCATTCAAAATGGGGGTAGCATAAATAGTTGTTTAAAAATTATATGATTGGGGAGGGGGGGCCTAAGTCAATATTTCATCTCAATATCTCACTGGGTACAAGGGTCACTTATTTAACAAATCCATTTAAAAAATTTAATTTTTAAATCAGATATTTGTGACAAATCAATTTTATTTTATTTTAATTTATAATAAAGATAATTTAATACTTTTTCTAATACTAATTTTTTTAAAGAAAATAATATGGGCTGGGCCAGGCCTGAAAATACAAAACTTGGGCCAAGCTGAAAAATTTTTTTTTTTAAATCCAGGCTAGGCCAAAAAATATTTTTTATAAATCCTGTCCAGGTCATGCAATTGGTACCTCTGTAAGATTTTGATATAGTATATTTTAAAGTTAGATGCTGTTTTTAGTAAAAAAAATTAGCACCATCTATTTGAAAAGTTTAACAAACCTTTCACTACCAAAATGCCCCCCCCCATCCCATGCATAGTTACGGTTCTATGTTTGTACAAATATACACTACCGACCACAAATGAGTGCCCACCCTGCATTTTTACATAAAAAATTAATTAATAACTTAAAACTTTTTAACTTATTTGGGTAAAAGTGAATTGATCAATTAATTTAAGATGTCTAGACATATTTAGAAATAAAAAACTCGGAATTTCTATAAATTTTTCTATGAAATTTTAGCCTTTGAAAACAACATGTCAAAAATGACCAATTTGGTAAAATAGGGTTCATTAGTTTTTTTCAGCAATAATTTTAAATTGCCCATTGTTTTTTGGAAGAAATCACATTCTAATCTGCTTATTACCCATTTTTAATTATTTTAAAAAAATTCCTAGATTTTTTTTGTTTTAAAAAAGAAACTTTTAGTCTTTATAAATTTTAGCGAACATTCGACCAAAATGATTAAAAGAAAAGAAATTTCTATTCCAACTAAATGCAAAATAATTAACTTACACATAGTGATAAAAGTAATCGCCGAATTGCCAGAGAATTAACCCTAGCTCAATGAACAGTCGATTGTATATTTAAAAGATTACACAACTAATACAATATCGAATACAAAGAGGTTTGGAAGACCCCACAAAACAATTTGAAGCGATTATAGGTATATAATATAGCAAGGGTCAGTAAACGCAATCGACGCCTTGTCGCCTCAGAGATAGCTGCGGAGGTTAATATGACTTGGGAAAACCCGATAAGTGTCACAACTGTGAAAAGGCACCTTAGGAGCTTTGAACTTTATGGTAGGGTAGCAGTCAAAAAGCCACTCTTGAGCAAAAAAATAAACTCAAGCGATTAAACTGGGTATGAAAACATCAATTTTGGACATCTACCATGGTGCCAGGTCTTATGGAGTGATGAGTCAAAATTCGAAATCTTTGGTTCTAAAAGAAGGCAATATATCTTCTGCTCAGCTGGAGAGCAAATGAGCAATCACTGCATAATTCCTATAGTCATATTCTGGGGAGGGTCTGTATGGTGTGGGAGTGCTTTGGACAATGTCAAAATTAAAGGAATCCTTAACAAGGAGGGATACCGGCATGATCGGAAATAACTTTTTATTTCAACAAGATAATGACCCAAAGCATACATCCAGGATATGCAGAGATTATTTACAAAATCTGAAACAACACGGTATTCTCGAGTTGATGACTTGGCCATCCCAGTCTCCCGATCTCAATCCAATCAAACTTTTATGGGATCACCTTGATCGACAAGCATGAAATAGCCCTCTAAACTCTCATTCACACCTTTGGGAAGTATTGTAGAGAGAATGGAACAATATCACTTCCTAATATTTAAAAAATCTCATCGAAAGATTACCAAAAATTTGTGCGGCAATTATAAAGAATAAAGGTGGTCATATTGATGAGACCAAAATTTGATCTTAATTAATTGCTATGTCTTTTATTTTTTGTAATTTTATGCAATAATATGTAAACTTATAAATAAATTTGATAAACCTCATATTGTGTTATTTGTCATTTGAGAAAAATATTAAGAAAATGCAGGGTGGGCAATCATTTATGGACGGTAGTGTATATAAAAATTATTATATGAATATATAAATGTAATACAATTATTTTTATAGGCCTAGGCAAATCATTTATAAAAATTTAAATTATTTTTAATAAACAAAAAATAATACCATATAATCTTCTTCACATACTATTAAATCTTCAACAATGTAAAATGACTGGCCTTGAAGATTAACCTCTTTATTAAAAATTTACAATTTTAAAAAAATAATAATTATGATACCACAAGAGTCACATTTGAAACATAAAATATGATATAGTTTTCCTAAAGCAGTACATCCATCATCATCGTTCAATATTTGAAGATTACAGATAGCACATATTCCTTAATACAATAGCAATTATTTATAATAATATTTTAAAACCTATATTTTCAGTAGGATCCATGTTTAAGTTTTGTATTAGCATATCTGTAAGTTGATCTACCTTGTCTTCAGATTCTTTTGTTCCATAAAGATTATTTGTAGTTTGAACATTTTTACTATATTTATTTATTTTACCGTCTACAGGTAAAATTTTAAGTAAATTATTATCGTTATAATAATTTTTGAGATATATAGTATTTTCTGCATAAGGGGTTATCAATTTTTCTCTTTTATTAGAAAAATGTTTAACATCAAAATCATCGAATTTCGGGGGAGGTGGAGGTGGTAGCGATATATCATTATCAAAATTTTTACATCTTGTTGTATCAATCTCATTATATAATATTGATTCTGGTGGAGGTGGGGGAAAATAATCATCCATACTACAATTATATTTATTCAAAATTAAGGTGAAACATGCGGTTTTGTAAAAATTAAGTCAAAACACCTAAATTTATTTGATCAACATATGTTTATTACAGTAGGTTTCCTAATGACATATATATAGCTAAAATAGCTTTCAAAAAAAAGTAAATAATGTTGTGATTATATTGTTAAATAAAATATATAGATATAAACATTATTAAAGCGAAGTATATAGAGACCAACGCATTAGAAAACGGGGAGAAGTTTTTCAATGGGATACACTTAGGGCAGAAGAGGGCATTGACTCGGCATGATATCAGGAAAAGCCAGGAAAATATTGCCTTAGCGTCGAGATTTTGCCAAGATAATATCAATCAATTAACAAATCGTATGGATAATATTCAGAGAGATATCATTAATTATATAGGAAAGAATTTCTTATTTTGATCGGGAAGGTTTATAGCTGTGTGAGAAGTTGTGTGATGCATGGCAGCAGGGACCGAATTATCCAGATCAAGTAAGCATTTGCCTATGAGACCACGAGCAAATGTTAATCTTAGAGAAAAAATACATGAAATATATATTTTCTTTTATCATACATGTTACGACTTTTCTCTTATCATATTCATATATTTAATTCATTAGCGGTTAATTTGGATTATTTTCTTTTTAATGCATTACTTTAATGTTATTATTTTGATATATGGGTTTTTATCATTTTTTTCAAAATAAAAATGTATGTAGTTAAATAAAAGTCAAGTTTTGATTGATTTACATTTATATACAATATTTTCTTAATTATCATAGTAATATAATTCAATAAGCTTTAAAATAATAAAGAAAAGAATCGAGATTTGCATATTATCCATGTAACAAAACAAATATTTGAAATAATAAAGTTTTTAGGGAAACATAATTTATTTATCCTACAGAGGATCAGACGATTATAATGAACCACTTAGAAATTTTAAAAATGAGAATTAAAATTATGTAGATTTCCTTGAGGTGATATAAATTATAAAAAAAATGATAAAATACTCATAGACCATTTAGAGAAAACTCGTATGTAAAGCTTAAAACTTTCCGACAAAACAAAATTCAATAGAAGAGGTTTCTCACTATGTTGACAAAGGGCAAAGACAACCGTAATATGGATATTAATGTTGTACTTGTTGAATTTTGACTGACGGGTCCCACCGTCAGAGTAGGGAAAACACAGTCCGTGATTGGGGGTCCGGGATGGTCGATAAGGGGATCCAGGGGGCCGGGTTTGGGTATCGATTTTGTCATGGGATCACGCGGACAACGTAGTGTAAATATTATTTTAAAGTTAATTCAAAGCAAATACAACCGAATTAAGGTTAAACAAATTTTATTTCAATAGTTACAAAAAAAAAGAAAATCATCAAAATCATACATAAGAAAACAACACTATCAAATTTCATTTTTCGTGCTCTTTATATAGATAAAATAAATAATAAAAAAAATAATGTTAATAATACAGGCCCATCTTGAAAACTGGTTAGATCCAGTTCTGAGGATGAAATCAAAACAATCTTGGTATACGTGAACAAAGAAAAAAAATATACATGATAATGAGAAAAACACATCACTTCTAATTGAACAAAGAAAACAAAAATATAAATGGTAATATAAAAACATATCACTAGAACAAAGACATAATAACTATTATAAACTAGTTAAAACACAACACTCCTCTCCGCTTAACTTTGACTACCGCAGCACCTTTCGGATCAGGGCAGATGGCAGGCTTAATTAAAAATTTATTTTACAACTCAAAAATATAATATAGGCATACGCCGTACCGCTGGATTAGAGGGGGGTTCAGTCCTATGTTCATTACCTTAGGCACAAAAAAACGTCTAACAAAATAAACGGCATAGCCGCAGCGCGTTGTCAGGGCGGATTTTAATCCTAAGTTCGTTTACTTAGACACATAAAAACATCTAACAAAATAAACGGCATAGCCGCACCGCGTTGTAAAGGCGGATCCTAAGTTAATTTAAATTAGCGCATAATCAATAATCACACAAATATTAATAATAACGGCATGGTACCGCTGGGTCAGGGCGGTCTTTAATCCTAAAAAAACTCTGAGGGGGGGGGGGGGGTAGGTATAAAAAGGTAATGTATTTATAGATATATAAAGAAATAAGGTTTAGTGTGCGATACAAAAAAACGGTGTTTTAGTAAGATTTCTATGCTCCTCCCCGTTTAAAATCTGCTACCTCCGGGAGGGGTTTCTGACGGGTTTGCAGGTTCCTCCTCGTAAATTGTTGAGCCTGATTGATCGGAGTCGCTACGGTTTGCCCTTTGAGTCGGGGGATTTGAGAGTTATTTCCCAACCTCAGTGATGGATTCGCGGAATCCTATTGCAGAGAAAGGTTGGGTTTGGGGTTGATCATTTTGACAAGGTCATTGACGGCTTGGGGCAGGTTGGTGATAGTGTTTACGATTTTGTGTTGCAGTTGATAGGATGGTGTTTTGGGCTCTATCGCGTATGGTTCTTTAGAGAATATGGTAACGTAATCTTCTCTGGTTGCATCGGTGTCAGGGCATTTATGATCCCGTCGGGGTCGGATATCACGACGATGGTATCGTTGAGTTTTGTTCGTGGTTTCCACGTAATAAACGACTGATCCTTGTACGTCTTTTATGACTCCCTTTTCCCATTTTGGGTGGGCAACGGTTGGGGGTGTTCGAACCCACACTAGATCATCTTTTCTTCGAGCGGCGAGAATGGGAGAGTGATTGGGGCGGGATATTGATTTCTCTCGGAGGAGGTCTAATGAACGTCGGATTTCGCGTCCTAGGTATAGCATTGCAGGTGTTTGTTTTGTTGCCGGATGCGGGGTGTTTCTATACGATATCAGAAAATTGGTCAGCTGGGTTTGAATTTCGGAGCGGGGAAAACCTCTTATGGCATTTTTAAAAGTTCGTAAAAATCGTTCCGCTATTCCGTTACTTTGTAGTGAGTATGGTGGCGTACGAATATGCGTTATTCCATGGTGATCACAATATTGGTTAAATTCGTGGCTGACAAATTGGGGTCCATTGTCCGTTATGAGGTTTCGTGGATACCCTAGGTGAGTATAAATGCATTCCAAAGCGGTTAGGAGGGCAAGAGTGGTTGTGCTATTCAGGCGGGTTATTTCTGGCCATTTGGAAAAAGCATCCACCAGAATTAGCTAATGCACGTTTTGTAGGGGGCCTGCCAGGTCGACATGCACCATATCTCCGACTGAGTGGGCGGCGGGCCATTTGTGGAATAGTACTAGGGGAAGTTTTCTTTGTACTGCTGACAATGGTCCCACGTTTCATTGATCGTTTTGATGTCCAGGTTTAAATGTCCCACCAGATATACATCCTGGAAGTTTCTTTCATTCCTACAATTCCTGGATGTCCCCTGTGAATTTCTTGTGATATCGCGGGACGTAAGGTTTGCGGAATGATTATTCGGGTTCCTCGGACAACTATCTCACCGTCTATAGACAATTCATTTTTTATATTCCAAAATTTTATTAATTTGTTGTTTGTTACATTTGGGGGCCAGCCGTTTTGTATGTTCTCTTTGACTTGTGTTAATTCAGGGTCTTGCATGGTTTTGGCTTCAATTTCGTCTCGGATAAGGGGTAGAGCTTTAATTTGTGTTTGGGTAATTTGGTTTATTTCGTTTTCGTCTTGATGGTCTATTTTAAGGATCGGTAGTAGGGAAAGTGCATCGGCGTTCATATTTGATGATCCCGTTTTGTAGCGGATGTTGAAATTGAACCCTGATAACGTGACTCCCCATCTTTGTAATCTAGCGGAAATCATGGTTGGAATCCCAATTTGTTTTCCATATATGGCTAACAGTGGTTTATGGTCGGTGTATATGATAAATTGGCTGCCTAGAAGTAATTGTCGGAATCTCTTAACTGCAAAAACAATAACTAAGGCTTCCTTTTCCACGGTTGAATAGTTGATTTCGGCTTTGGATAAGGTTCGGGACGCATAGGCTATTAATTTTTCGATTTCGTTATCCCATAGGTGTGATAGAACCGCTCCTATCCCATAAGTGGACGCATCACAAGATAAGGTTAAGATGGTTTTGAGATTGTAATTGCATAAAATTTGGGGGGGGGGGATACTAGTAAAGACTTGATCGAGTTAAAGCTGTCCGACTGGGTTTTGTCCCAATTAAATTTTACCCCTTGGTGTAATAGATCGTATAGTGGTTTATCTAAGGTAGACATTTGCGGTATAAATTTGGCGTAGTAGGTAACGAGTCCAATAAAGGATCGTACTTCGTGGATGTTCTTTGGAACCGGACAGTTTTTGATTTATTCGGTCGTTTTAGGAATTGAAGTTAACCCGTCTGCATTGATATTGTGGCCTAAATATTCCACTGATGGTTGTGATAGTTTGCATTTTTTTAAATTTATCCTTAAATTGAAATTATCTAATCTTGTGAGGAGCTGATGTAAATTGTACCAGTGTTCCTCCGGTGTTTTCCCTTATACCAGAATATCGTCCAAATATGTAACAGTTTTTTTAAGGCCGGCAGTCACAATGATTATAGTTCTTTGAAAAATCTTAGGGGTGGAGGAAATTCCAAAAGGAAGTCGATTAAAATTAAAGGGGCCTATATGGGTACTAATAGTTAACAATTCGCTCGTGGTTTTCGTGACTGGAATTTGGGTATAGGCTTCTTTCAGATCTATCACGGAAAAAATGGATCCCTCCTGTAGTGTTCCAAAAATGTCTTCAATTCGGGGAATCGGGTAACATTCAGGAGTGACCCACGGATTGGGGCTAAATTTGTAGTCTATGCATAGATTTAAGGTATTGTCAGACTTTTGAATTGGTACGATTGGTGACCCCCATTCACTGTATCAGCATTTACTGATAATCCCAATGTTTTGCCAGTCTTTTAATATTAGTTCGATTTGTAACTTTAATGCATAGGGTACGGTACGGGGTTTGATGAAACGGGGTTGGGCGTTTGGGAGTAGATTTATATCTATTTGGTTTGGAAAATTCCCAAGGG